GGAAGAGGGTACGGAGTCAGAGGAGTGTGTTCTGGAGCAGATCCCTGAAGACTAAATATCTTGTCCCCCATTAACTTCAAATTCCAAAAATCTGCAAATCTTTTAAAAAACTGAAATGCTAAAATGAATCTCCTTTGCTATTATAATGATAAAAACATTTAAAACTCACTGCTTTGCAGATCAGAATTTATAAGGATTGTAATTATTCGCACTATCACAAAGGATTGAAACAAAACTTGAAAACATTATAAACCAGCCATAAGAAACCAGACAAACTTCAAAAATTCTATCGGCAAATCCTGATTTTCTTCATACGAGCAGAAAATTGAGAGGAGGCAGGTACAATGAATAATATCACCATCATAAGCATATTGTAAAAGTAATCCTAAATTCTGTGAAGGCTGGAGGTGAAAGAAGATGAAACACAGCAAGAACTGATTCCGTAAGATCTAACGTAGACGTCATTTTCTTATAGGAAAAAATACCATATTTGACATGTATGTCCCGAGGCTACTGGATCAAATTCTATTTCAACCACACAGCACTTAAACCTAGCACTAAGTGCTCTTCTTGGCTCTGAAGGCTTACAATTTCTGAAGCCTAACCCCCTCGAAGGCCTCCACCTTGACAGAGCAGTTTGTATGCTGTCACACGTACGACATTCTCTGTTCCTCTCCTTCATGTAAACACTTTTACTCTGAAACCAGTTAGGTGACTAGGGGACCGAACGGGACCAATGTAGGGAATACATACACAGGGGTCACAAAAAACCCACAAACGGTTAACCGAAGACGAAATCTAATTACTTTGCTTAATAATAATGCACTGATTTTCTGTTTTCCAAGTTCAGATTTTACCCAAGGCTCTCCCATCTGGCACACGTGTCAGCATGTGTTAGTAAACCCATAGTAAAAGAAATAATAGAATGCTGACTTTTGCTAACATTAACTATGAATGGGGAAAAAAGAATCCTCTCTTCTGTTTATTAAATAAAACAGGTATTTTTTAAAAGGGCTGAGCTATGATTTACAGCACATACTTTTGTTTGGTAAAAAATAATCAATTCATTTAAAAATTACACAAGTGTGTTAATCAACTCTTTCATTATTATTAAACATCAAGAAATTGTTTTAAAATCTGGTTCCACACTTAAGGATTAGGGGTCAGAGAACTAACTCCCTGAAACTGGGGGGGAGGAAATGCTGTGGATGTGTCTGTATTTTCAGTTTTCCCCCGGTGAGATGGTCTGTGGTTTTCGTGTGGTTCTGTAAGGGGCTGTGCACTCAATCTGTGGTAGGCACTCGGGTCATCAGTGAATGAAACAGACCTGTCTGCCTTCATGAAGGTGACAGGCATTAATCAAATAATGACTGTATGATTATAAACTACATGATTGTAAGCTATAGTATATGCTCTGAAAGAAAAGTATCAGAAACTAAAAAGCATTTAAAAGAATTACTGAGTCTAATCAAGGAGGTAGGAAAATCTCCCCTAGGGGCTGCCTCGAGCCACAAGGCACGTGAGATGTGAAGGTCTGATACCTTCGCCGGCAGCGAGGACGCAGAGGGCCGTGCGATGGCTCTGGGGCAGCGGGGGAATGGGTTCCCAGGACCTGAAGGAAGACCAGGGCACTGGCAGCACAAAGAGTAAGGTCAAGGGAGAGTTATGTTAGAGGATGTTGTAGAGGAAGGCAGAGGCTGTGATAAAAATTTCTGTCTTATTCAAGGAGCAATGGGGAATCACTGAAAGGCCTTTATACTGGAGATTGTCAGCACCAGACACGTGTTTTTAAAAATACCGGCTTGGGGGCCGTTTAGAGAGTGGATTAGGAAGGGGAGACATGGAAGAAGGGAGAGCAGAGAGGATGTCATTTCGTTGGTCGGAAAGAGCATCACATGTGGCTTGGACCTAAAGTGATGGTGCTTCAAGACAGTTAGGGATAAAGTGAGCACTTGATTTGGTGACAGACTGGATTTGTGACAAGAGATGTCAAAGACAATCCCTATGTTTCTGACTAGAGATGAAGTCAAGCAATGTGAGAGGTAAAAACTAGAAGACGAGGTGCTTTTTTTATGGCGTTTTTTGTTTGGGGTGAGTTTGGTGTCGGGGAGAAAAATCTTGCCTGAGGAGCTATTATACAAAACACTGGGGCATCAGTATCTAACGAAGATATATTTTGAACTACTTACTTTAAATATTAAAGTCATATTTAATTAATATTCTATAAATTGAGACATTTTAAAAAAGGATTCATTTAAAAGGTTTTCTCTGTATTAAACTCAACAAGGCATAATCGAAGAATTTGTGGAGGAAATTAGCAATGGAAAATAGCTTGGGATAATGTCAACTGGCAACTTACTTTCACCGAGTAAATAAATTAACCGTAAAAAAAAAAAAAGCACAGGAAATTACAGAAATGCACAAAACACACACACATACATAAACATCCTAACACTACAGTGATTGTTACTCAGACCTGTATTTCTGTAATATAAGCACTTCAAAAATAAAATTTCATCCAACAACTAAATCCAATAAGGCAATTTTGAAATGATCAATAATCAGCTCTTAATAGATACATTTTGCTTTGTTTGATGAAATAATTCTTCAAAAATCTGTCTTTTGATTCTACTCCATGTTATCTCAATTTTAAAAGAGACACAGCCCTTTGCTTTTTGGAAAAAGCAACTAGTATATCTAGACCTTTTAAAAAAATCAACCAAATTGGTATTTCACTTAAATCAAGCCCTATGATAATAAACAAGACTGTCTAGGACATATTCTACACGGCTCAACTGAATTATTTAAAAATATACACAATCGAAATTATTCCAATTCCTAAATCACCCGTATTTATTTTGTCTAACTTTTAAAATAATAACCTTTTTTCAAGAGACTCAGAAGGCCAAAATTCCTTTTATAGAGCTTGGCTTAAACATTAAAGCAGCATCATTTTTAATAATATCTTTTTAAAATAAATATTACAGTTTGGAGAATATCCTACTGGCATAAGTATTTTTATTTGATTTAAAAAAGTGTTTAGTTCCAACACTTACTAAAAAATTTCTTAAAAACTTCTCTTAAGGATTCTGAAAAGATAAACACACAATATCTATGAAACCTATTAAATTAGTATATTTTATTCATAACAGTATATAACAGAAAACTCTAATGTGTTACCTAACAAATTCTCAATTATTGTTTGATAAAAATATGGGAGGAGCAATAAAGGAGAAGTTTTGCTGTGCCCTAACTCTACAATTATGTTATCCATTAAAATGTCAGAATTTTGTCAAGCACTGAAATCTTATCACATTACCCACAAAGATAAAGTTTCTAAATGCATGAATATATTTAGATTCATACTGGTTTTCTTGTTAACATATGCTAGAATGAGCCCTATGTTATCTTGCTGTACTTATCGTAATAATAGAGAATAAATTACTTTTGAATACACTTAACCAACTATGATAATAAGAGGAAAGACATAAGACCCCAAAGTATCACCTTTGATTTGTAAAACTTTTTCAGTCTTTAGAGTTTAGGCAGAGGCAATAGAAAATTCAGGTTTATAATGTACTTTTTGCAAGTCTTCATATCTGAAGTAGATTGTCCCTTCGTGAAGTGTGTGAGCAATACAAAGATATACAATTTTTTTAAAAAAGCAATTTGGATTATACAATAGGACAATGTCTCTAAACCTAGAGACCAAATGATCATTACAGTAAAATTTTTAGAAATTTTCAACCAGATGGAAAAATGCAGTTGAAAGAAATGAATTAGTAATCTTTACTTTCATTTCCACTGACTTATATTAAAACAGGAGTAGATTTTTGTTAGTGGGAACCATGTAGCTCAGCTAAAGTTTGTATGAGACAAAGTATAGACATTATTTAGTTGAAATGTCAATTTGCTGTTGTTCCACATTGAACACATCCAGTCTAACATGACATTTTTAAAATACTCTCATGTTTCATTCTGAAGGTCAAAGGACAGTTCCAAATGTAGCCAGATTACCTATGCTATTCTCAGCATAGTTTGGAAAAGCCTTTTTGAGCAATCAGTTTTGTCTTTCAGGGAGAAGTTTCAGCCCAGCCTACAGCTCTGGGCTTCTCCAAACATTTCTGGGCAGAAGCCAGTGGCACACACCATTTTAAATGACCCTCTAGGAATCTCCCATCCAAATGAACCTTAAGAGAAGGTTCTTGGTTATTTATTAGAAGCTTAACATGTAAAGGGATGGGACTTAACTGGTTATTCAAGAAAAGGAAAAGGGATATTTCCTTTGCTTTCTAAGTGAACACAATGGATACGCTCAGCGTGATGGCTTATTTCAATACTGCACTGCTGTTTCACAGAACACACACACATATACCAATGCTTCTTGAATATATAATTTGTGCTGCATTTCTATAATCAGAAGACTTAACCATTTAGAAGTAATTTATTGCTGAATGAAAACATTTGTCTTTCAAGATCAACATATGTGTGTGTCTATGTGTACCCAGGCATTCATGTGCCTTTTTATCATTTTCTCCACTTGGCTTTGATGCCATAAATAAACAGCTCATAAAGCATCAATTACTTTTTTGTGATACTCTATCATCAGAAACATAAAATATGGAAAAATTAACTTCATTTCCCACAGAAAATATAAACAACTCTGAACTGAACTAAGTTACCTTTTCTTATATTATTACTGAAGTCTAGTTCGAAAACAGCAAGTTTCTACTGTCTAGCACAGGGAACTGCACACAATATCTTAAAGTAACATACAATGAAAAAGACTATGGAAAGGAATATATGTCCGCATAGGTATGACTGAAACATCATGCTGCACCCCGGAAATAGCCCAACATGGTAAACTGACTAGACTTCAGTAATAATAAACCACCAAGTGACTTTAAAGGGACCAGAGCTGAAGCCAAGGCCGCCCCCCCGCCCCCCCCCCCGCCCCGGGCTGAGGCTCTGACGCGGGCCGGGCAGGGCCGCACACCTACCGTCTTGCTGAGGTAACTTGTGCTGGTGTTCATGCACTGTAGCCCCTCACTGTTGCAGCAGCCCCCACATCTGTAGACGGACACACATGGAGGTTTAAAGAAGGTGTTTGTTGCTGCTCCAAACTCCTTCCCCACATCTATACACACCTCCCGTGGCATGCATTGAGTTTTTCTCCACTCATTATCAATACCTGTCGGGTCACAGGGAAGGTCGTAAGTCATACAGAAGCCACCAAGGCGGAAAAACCCACAGCAGCTGGAAGTCACTCACCTTTGATTTCAGAGTTTAAGGTTTAAGTAAAATACATAACTTTAAAGAAACAGTTGACAGGATCCTAAAGTGCCCTGTGAATTGGAATATGATATGACATTTAACAGAGCAGCTGAAGGTATTTTCTAAAATAAAACTAATTTCTACAGCCATGTAACAAGCTACATTAGGGTTATGCTTTCTTACGACACCAATACTCTCCTGCACTTCTGTTTGGTTTTCTTTACTTAAGAAAATGAACGTTTAGCACTCAGATGTTTACAAAACCTGCAGAGATACAGTCGTGCTCATTTGCTCTAATATGCAATATTTTTGAGGTCCCAAAGAAACTGTAAACATGTTTAAATTTTCTTTTTAAACTGAGATGTAAAGAAAATGGTTTTGGTTTTGGACTCAATTCAAAACTCATTTTCAGGCAGGCGATTTGGCACCGTTGGGTAATGTCATGGTGGTAGCTATTTGAAGTGCAAGTGTATTTTCCATCAACTGGGACATGTATCTTGAACCATTTTGTTCAGGAAATTCAAAATTTCCTGTTCCTTTCATGCTCTCTCTTGGAATTCCGTTTCCAATCAGCCAGTGCTTTACCCACCCCACTGCTGACTCTTTAAAGACTGCCTTACAAATGATGTACTTCTTAAATATTCTAATTTATTTCCCCCATTTCCTCTAAAATATAAAGTTTTTGGGAAAAAAAGACATAAACTATTGGTTATTCAACCACGAAACCATTTTGTTCGTTTGCTTTTGTTCTCCAAATAATTTGCAATTTCAAATCTTTACAGCAGTTAACACCTAACAACTGACAGGAGTTATTCTGTAAAAGTAGCCCACCCTTGATACTAAGCCATTTTGTGCAACATCATAAATTGTTTGTGACTCTTTCTTCAACATCTCTCGGTAGCTTTACCAAAGTCCAGCTCTTGAGCCAGTTCCCTATCAAGCAACAAGCAAGGAAATGTGCAGTAGCTGCCAAGATGATTTAGCAACTAAGCATTTCTATATCCAAATCTAAATAAAATTTATCTGTAATTTTTTTCATGATACAGAATGTTTTAATAATTAAACTGGTATATAGTGCGTAAAATGTATCTGTATGTTTTAAAAATTTTGCAACTGGATATCACCTCAATTATAAAAAAGTTAAAGTGTGTTGATATGCATGTACCTTCCTATCTTTATTTTTCAAGAAATCATCTTAACTGCTCACAGTGAAATCATAAAATTCTGTACTTGTAAAATAATTCTTTATTTTCTATTGTATTTACTTTTGGCTCTGAAGATACTCAGTGGTACTATAAATGCTGAAATTAAAGGACAAAGCTGGTGATTTTCAATGGGTTGAAATACGAAGCCTACTCTGTATTTTCTTTCCCATACTTACTTCTCAAGATCTCTGCATTATAATGAGCCGCGGCAAATTTTAGAGTCTCTTCTGTTCTTGCGTTGGCGTTGGCCTGTTCTTTATTGTACTGCCAGCCTCCTTTCCTCAACTGACACTTGTACATTTTCCAATATTCAGGGTAGAGTACAGTCATGAGTTCATCTACACTGGACACCGACCGCAGCTGCTCCTCCAGGTCTTTGCCTGCATAAGTCTGTCAAAGAAACACGCAAGAACAATTACTTATCAGACTGAGAGATCTGGAAACAGATGCACTAGAAAACCTTCAGGCTTAATGTTACATATGCCAGATCCCTGTTAAATATTATTAATTTTCTAAGTACTTAACTTTTCTTGGTAGAATTATATTCATCTTTTAATTCAAATCAATGCCATAATTAAAATGAAATTACCACAATTAAAATGTAAAATATATATTTGGCTTTTAGGACAAACATTTTCAGACATCAATTAAAGTATTTTTGAAATCGCTTATTTTATTTATAGCTGTTTTACAAAACTGGTGAATGTATAAGTTTGAAAAATTATACAAGTTTGTATTACCTTCCAATATAAAGTTAAACTGAAATCCACTCTAATGCTTTGCAATTAGTTATCAGCATCAATAATTAAGCAGGATGCTTGAAATTAGGAATCTCAGTTTTATGGAAACCATTTTAGAATAAATATTGAAGAATGGAATGGGATTTTAATAACAGCTTCACAGTAAGGCTATATTTTGGAAGAACCTCCCAATATTTCCAGAAAACCTGATCAAGATTTATCCTACTATGAAAAAGACGTGTAATAGTCCAGAGAATGTTATTCTGCTTATAGTTAACTGTCTATTTAAGAGTATCTAATGAAGTAGAACACTACAAGTTATATTCAAGTAGTTACCATACCCAGAACAAATATAATTTTTTTTCTAATTTACACTTTGAAATTACAGGGAAATGGGATGTTGTTTAACTTTATCCGTCTGCAAAGTGAAGGACATCAGATGTTTAATGTTGTCATGATGATCCCAGCCTTAAGTCTAAATATGTACCTAAATACTTTGGATACTGTTTCTCAAAGGTTAGCCTGCATTGGAATCAATCAGAGAGCTGTTAAAAATGCAGGAACCTGCCCCCACCTCCCCAGCCAGGCGTCTTCAATGGCACTGAGTCCACATTCTAATACGTTTTCCCTTTCTAATGCCTGAAGTACAAAATTAACATATTTGCTTTAAAAATCAAAATGCTATTTAACTGAAAGTCTTTCCACCACTATTTTTAATAACCCAAGTTATTCTGATGTAGATTTTTGTACTGCATTTTGAGAAACATAAGCTTATGTCATTTTCTTACATTATTACAGACCCTCCCGGGCAGTCGATTATGAAATGTGTTCCACCCTATTAGATATTAAAATTAGTTGTGAATTTTGGCATTTTCCCCTTTCTTCACTTCTTGTTTGAATTGAGAATATCACTTCATCTCTTTAGGTCTATGTCATAAAAATACTGATCCTGACCCATGGCCTTCTGGAAGGTGCAGGATGATTCCTGACATGTCACACAATGACACAAAATACAATCCTTCTGACGAGATGGAGAGTGGGATGGAGAGGAGGCCTCAGCCTACATGAAAGAGACAAAACATCCTCACACTGTCTCCCCATTAAATGTGTATGACGCATCAGTCTCAAGAAAATTCCACATGTGACACAAAATTCAAGAATCAAACAATGTTTCAGAATCTAAAAGGATTACTACTGGAGAGGAAGATGATAAAAGCACACGGTCTATTTGCAGTCACTGCTGCCTAGAGGAAAACGTCACAGGTGGGCTTCTACTGGCCCCTGCTTGCCTAACTAGCCCTTGAACACATGGAGACACGAGGCTGTGTAATTGGCGAGTCCCTGGGATTCTTTGCCCCATGACTCAGCCGGAATCAAAGTCAGGTTGTGACCTAAACGGACCACACGAATCTCACATAAGACAGGCAGACGTGTTCCCTCTACCAAAAAGGAGCTGCAAGACAACATAGCAGTGTTCCGTGAGACTACGAAAGATACACAGCAAACTGTTAAGAGGGAAGATCGTGGTGGGAAGGGACTTTCAATTAAGTACGATTTGAAGTTTCAAGGAAAATCACTCACTCTTGTACTTTAAAACTGAACAACAGAAAGTAGCTCTAACAATAGTTCTATCATCAGAGAAAACGTTGTTACCCAACAGAGAAACAGGAGAAAAACATAATTCACAACCGAGAAAGTACAATGTAAAAAAAATGAAAAAAATACTAGGAAAATAAAAGTTATTACATTTACACTCTTAGGCTGAAAAAAGGCCCTTCTAAAAGTGAATATAAAAATAAACGGCAAACTATCTTTACGGTGGCAAACACTGTAAACAAAATAAAAGACAGACAATACAGTAGGAAAACTGTTTGCAATATACATGACAGACGGGAAAGGACTAACATTTTTAAAATATTGCATGAACCTGGCAATAAGAAAATATAAGCAGCTGCTTCAACAGAAAAGTGGGCCAAGTACTTGAACTGCATAGTGACAAAGAACAGATACAATTAATATGTGTCTGATGACAGCAAAAGTGAAGAAAACTATCATTCTTTCCAGTCCTGGTGAGAGGGTAAATTTGTACAGCTACTCAATGAAAATGTGCTCTTTCAAGTTGAAGGACCTTAAAAACAAGCTCTGTTTTAGACCGCTAATTCACTTTGGAATTACATCTCCTCTCCAACAGAAGTGATAATATGCCAGAAATGTGTGCAAATTCATCGTGCGGCTGCCTGTGATCGTGAGCATGAAAAAACACCTACACAGACAATAATGAGGAATCAATGAAATAATATACAGGATAAACAGAAATTAGCACAGGAAGTGATGTCTTGAGGAGAGACACTACCACTTTGATGGAATCACACTTCCCAGTCATAACCTATTTTGAAGAAGTTGAAGAGGTCCCAGTAACCCAGATTGAGTTCTGAACCAGGGACACAAGAAACCCTTTCAGGGAGAACTTCTATCCATACGAAAGTCAGTTCTTTCTCAATGCTTTCTTGAGTCTTTATGTTTACCAGTGTTGTCCAGAATTTTTGAGATCATTTGCTTGAATGTTAATATATTCTTTAATTTTTCCAAAGGGATTTGGCGTGTCTTAAAATAGGAAGTATCTTACAAGTGGATATACAACTGTAATAAAGCAGCCTAAAATGATCTAAAAATGAATCTAATTTTGCCTTCTACCTTAGAGGGATCAATTAGGAAATTCCAGTAATTACTCTGACATAACTTCAGCATGGACGTATTTTCAAACAGTAACCCACGTGACATTCAGTGGAAGATTTTGAGATGCTATGGGAGTCAAAGCGGAGTGAGCAATGTTGAAGGCAGGGAGCTACAATCAGGCATCCAGCCCTTCTTCCATGATGATTCATACACCTAAAACGTTATTCCCTTCTTACTCTACCAGGGGAAGGATGAAGCAAGATCTCTGATTCTAGAAGTTACACGATGAGAAAGAGCTTTGGAAATTCACTATATAATTCTCTGTAGTCATGATGACTCATAACATGAAGTCAACATGTGAGGTGACCTTGAAAGTGGCCCCTGATCAACTACATGTTACACACATAGCTTACAAAACTGGTTTTCCTCTTGCAGCTCTGTGTTGACCAGGGGTGTGCAGACGTAGGCAGGAAGCACGAGTGCACGTAACTGATACTCCCAGAGCCAATGAGAGGTGGGAGGCCTGAGCTTTCATCTAAGATCAATCCAGCAACGGTCCTGGATTTGTCAGTAAGTGGAAATTAGCTTTTAGAAAACCTGCAAGTCCAATGTCAATCGTCGCTTTGAACAATTGTAAGTTAACCTCTACGCTGTATGTATATTATATACATATTGAATATATAATTTAAGAATTATAATAAACTATATATTAAATATATATATTTAATAATTTTATGAAGTTGAAAATTCATAAGGAAATGCACATACTTAAATTATGGAAAATTTCCTTTTACCTAAAAGCATATACTCTTATCAAATATTCATGATCAGAATGGAAGGAATGGACAAGAGTCCATCACACAAAGGTTTGATCACACTACTTATTTTTATGAAGTGACCAAAGAGGTCATAGGCAAATCTGTCTAAAATATCTATATTTTGGAGGAGAGGGAGAAAAGTTACTTAAGGGTCATACTAGCAAATAAGAGCTATTTATATTTTTCTCAAACTGTCCATATGCTATTTTAAAAAGTCCGGCTCAAGTAGTATTTTATATTTGAAAAAAATGTGTATTTCCATGGACAATTTCATAAGATAAAGTAAAGGGACGATGAATCGGTTAAATTATCAGTTTAATAAGGTAAGAAATTTACTAAAAAGTTTGAAAAGGAAGTATTTGTCGCATTACACATCACATACATCATCTCTGTCCTAAGAAACCAAAATATCAGTAGAGATCAATCTGTAATAAGGCAGTTGGCAAGGTAAGTAACTACACTATCACTGGGCTTCGTCCTTTCTTCTTTGAAAACAAGTTCCTATCGAATCATTAGAATAACTGGTTGCTGAAGTTATTCTGGCCCTAAAGTAGCAAAGAAACTTGCTTATCTATTCTTTCTTATTTAACAATGGCAGCTGAAAAACAGATGAACATGTGAGTCATTCTGTTTCCTTCAGCGAACCACTTATGCTAAGCAAATCTGTAAACTCTAAAAGTATATTCTAGCCTTTTAAAAAATGTCTTTTTTAAGCAAAATCTGGGCTAGGTGGCATAATGGAGAGGGTTTGGATTTGAGAAATTACTCAATACATAGTTACAGGATTCACTTTTTAAAGCACCCTTAGGTAGAGAATCGTAAAGAAATATGGAAGATCAAATAATATTCTTCTAAGGAACAGAAATTTGTGACTGCTGTACATAACCTTAGCAAATCGTTTTACCTAATTTTTCAGTGAAGGTGTCAGAGTCAGGATTGTTTCACCCACAGGTCACCCATCATCCATGTCTACACCAACCTGATGTGCCACAGATAGGTAACCCTGGAAGCAGATATTTAAATTTTAGTTTAACACTGGAAGTTTTAACTTTTAATTTAATTTTTGCCTACTCCTCTGAAACTTTTATTGTAAATGTTGAAAATAATGCCATAATGAAGAATGGACTCTTTCAAATCCATTGTTGATAGCATAAATCATATATCTTTTAAAAAGAA